TAGTGCGGCTGGAAGGATCGGGTAAATTGAAAAAAATCCAATGACCTCGTCGGGAATCGAACCCGTGACCTTGCACCTTGTCGCATAATGCCTCAATCAACTACGCTAGCGCGTGCCCCCGTCGAAACAGCTGTTCCACCGCAATTTTTGGAACGACCTGTTGAAGCGTCAGCGCTGGGTGAGTTCCAACACGCACGTCCCATATCCTGTACACCTCATCATCCGCATTTCAGATACACTGATCGCATATGCCCGCGGTCCTGCCATAGAGACGTCCCACAAAACGTCTCCAGACTTTGCTGGTGGTTATAAACATTATGTCACATCAACACAAGGTCCGATTCCCACCCGTTACGGAGGAAGTGCAAAGTGGTCATATTTACACAAAACTGACTGGGCCGTTTGCAGTTCGTTTGCACACCAGCTGCAGCACGACGGCACTTCGGGTCATTTCGGTCCACAATCGCTGGACTGGACGTGAAGTATGGCACAGCTCGCTTCATCTACTTCCTGCGCAATCCCTCAACTGTTTCTCTCCGCGATACAGGAGCAGATGATTTCTCAAGGCAAATCGCAGAGGCTGATAGCAATCGGATCAATCCACAAACGCACGCTGCAATTCTTGTCACCTGCTTCTTGTAATTCCGTTGCCTAGTTGAAGTTCCTCCAGCCCATCTGACGCATGGAGGTCGTGTGAGAGCCTCCAGAAAATCCACCATCCGGTCGGTCGGGCGAGAGGGACATCTCGCACTGAGCGCGTTCAGGCTCGTGGCGTAGTCGACAGACCAATATACTATGCACACCACAATTTGTAACATAGAAACACATACTTAGCGTGGCAACTCTGGCCTGCTCGCGTTCTCCTGTGTCGAAAGAGAGGGCATTTAAACCTTTAATAAAGTAACGTTCGTAGCAGGATGTTCAATTACGTTTTAATTAACTACATGGAGACCTAGGCCACATGTAGGCGATAAGAAACTTCGTTTATAATCTACAACAGCACACTTCCGCAATCTTGACTTGAATATGCAAGCCAGTGTCCCGTTTGTTTCGGTACATAAAAAGACTGCAAGGCTTGCGGAAAAAAGGTTCCTGGTTTAAAATGCGTTTCATTCTTCTCTAGAGCTTCTGTTTGAGACTTTTTTTGTTCCGAAAAGACACAGCGAGGTATGCTCAAGACATCTGCAGAAACCATGTGGGTCTACGTATAAGGTGGTCATCAGAATTTTCCTATTTACATGAATCCTGAAATGTTCTGACTTTTTTTTGGAAAGTTCTCCAGTATCAACTATTCCTTTAGTCGTCTTCAGGCGTTCGCAACATGCCTTTATACAGGGATCCGAATGCATCTAAAAATGTAACTGTTTCTGTTTCATTCCCTAACGGGAACCTGAGGAAACTCAAGAGTATGAAATGTATCCGCAATCTTGCAAATACTTCGTAAGATTTGAGGTTTTCAAGGCGGTGACTAGGAAGAAAGCAGTCTTCTGGGATGTGGCACCGTGTAGATGTGGTGTTAACCGACGTTTCGGAGGAACGTATCGCCTCCATCTTCAGGGCGGAAGGAAAAATAAAATCCGCAAGCGAAGAGACCGTGAGAACCAGTCTGCTTGTACCGGTTCTCACGGTCTCTTCGCTTGCGGATTTTATTTTTCCTTCCGCCCTGAAGATGGAGGCGATACGTTCCTCCGAAACGTCGGTTAACACCACATCTACACGGTGCCACATCCCAGAAGACTGCTTTCTTCCTTGCAAATACTTATTTGGTGGAGTTCTTGAATGTAATTCCAATCCTCATTCCCAACTTTCTTTTAATTATAATACTAAAACTTAATTTCTTAATTTCGTCGGTACTTTTCTGTAAGGTTTCAGCCACTATACACTGTCATATGGAAGCAACCCAACCACATGCCCGGGGAGAAACGAGTAGGCCTGTGTAAATTTAACGTTTTCGTTCCATCGTTACGTCCTGGTCTTACGAGGGCTCTGTTTCCATACAGCGTTCCTACCTGTATCTTATGTATGTCTATATTCAACGTATCTCACATGCGCGTTACGTCCTTTACTTAACTCTCCTTGATGAAGCTGCGAAACTGCGGACCGATTTCTGCAGTGGCTGAAATGTGAAATGAAATGAATGTTTCACACACAAAATGAACTTCAGCGTCGTTTTCATTGTGGTCGCTGTTAAACAATGATTTGTGCAAGTGCGCCACAGCAGACACAATAACCACGTGATGACTAAATGAGATAGAATCGGGGGAGATTTCACACGTAACGAAAATTGCGCCTACAAATAATAACGGGGTATGCATATGACGCACTGGCTTCATGCAGTATTAATGTCTGTTCAGTCATTTCTAATTTAATGGCTCTTTCGTACGGTAAGTTGTGAGAATTCTCACAACCTTCACTCGAAGCCATTTAGCGAACGAGACATACAACAATGATGTACTCCTACAACTGGTACCCGCAACTACCGTGTAAAAATGACGTTGAAAGGTTAATGCCCAGAGTGCATTTATCGGCACTAAATCTTGGTTATTCCCTGGCACAATGAAATGCTAACCAGTGAAACAGTAGTCAGGTGTGTAACAGGTGTGTTTTACGTTAAACTGTTCCCTTCATAAATTATTCGATGACTGATGAAAATAAAAGAAGAAGAAAAGTATTTCAAGATCTGTGAACAGAGAAGACTTGTTTTGAAGAGTCCTGTCTTCTCGAATACAAAGCTGCGTAGTCCACTGAAAGTCATAACCTCTAACGTGAGACCCTTAAATACTAAAACGTATTATTTTGTTGAGAATGAAACCCACCGGGAGCAGAGAGAACCTCGAGAAGCGTTATGTGGGCGCCGTACCCAAGCCACAATAGTGAGGCTGGTGGTCAACTCGGTGCGCGCAACTTTCACTAGTATTCTGAAAATATGGAGCGCTTCCTCAAAGTTCCATGGTGCTGGGGATGGCAGAATCTTCACGGGGGCGAAGGGGGAAGTAAGTAAGAACGCCTGCAACATCCGAAAGGCAAGGGGTCTCCTGCAAATACTGTTGGAGTGATACTGTACAAGCACGAATCTGCGTACTTAAAACTCTTCACAGTTCAGCGCAGAGGATGTTTCTGCTGCCGGAACGCCAACGCTAAAGGAGAAAGCAGGTCCTGCAGGAATAAGGCTAGCTGCCCCGAAGGACGGACATTACTCCTGACTTGCAAGATACGGTAAGTTTATAAAATGCGACACGAAGCAGCACCGCCTTTCCGAATAACCTTTTTGCGCCACTGAGAAGACAGAACATGGGTAGCGAGCAGGAACGGTTGGAACCAGAATCGAATGACGACACTGGTGAGTCAGCAGGAAAATTTAGTCAGGCTACCTCCCACCCATAATCATTCTGACGCCATCAGTTCACATTCTTTCCTTCCAAAAGGAGATCAAACTACCGGTGTGCAAGCAATTTTCACTGCGGACCACGGGAGCCTGAGATCGCACGATTTCCTGCAATATGTCCGATTATAAGGGCATCCTATCCCATCACACCCAGAATATGTAGTGACGAACGAGACAATAGAACTTATTCAATCGTTAATCTATTTCCACTAATTTGAATATATTTTATTAAAACTAATGTACTCCGTTGTTGTGTCGGCACTGATGTAGTTACGCCCTGCAGGGGCGGCAAGGGAGCAAGAAAATTCCGGGCCGCAGCAATGGCACCAAAGTATCATCAGACAGAGAACGGTGGAGCCGGTGCCCTGTTGGTGATGTGGGTACCCTCGTAACTACAGTGCAGCATGTCACGGAAACAGCACATGTTTTGCTCTCGTCACGAGAAAGAGGGGGAAACTGTTTTTCCTATACGTAAAGCACACCTTGCACCTATCCCTCTTCTCCTCTGTAGTTGAGAAAGCCCACTGCTGTATGTTACAATCTGACCAGAAGCCAAGGCAGCATGGGTTGGAAGGCCGGTCGCTTCATTCTCCATGACGGAGATTGCAACGTATGCTGTAGGCCCAACACTGCAGGTTCAGCCCCGAAAGCCGAAATTACATATTAAAAGTCAAACTAACTGGGTTGAACTTCGAACTCTGAGGCATGAGTCTCATATGCACCGTCAGGCGAGTCGCACGGTTAAGAGAAGCTAAAACTAACGAAGCTATATGCAGCAGTCAAACCTGGGAGAAACTTTCATATTCTTAGTTGGAATAAAATTACACTGACAACGCTGTGATGCAAATCCTTTTTGCCTTCTGCCAATTCGGGGATTGGGACCTGACCGGTTCCGATATTAAGGGACATGTTGCAAATCGTTAGTGTTAAATAATGAAACGCTAAAAGTTCACTTACGACACACATGCTAAATGTGCAAGGCAAAAAATAAAGAAGGCAAATTTGTCCCCGTGCTTAACTAATTAAGAAATATGTTATGAAGGTGTATGGGGGAGTAGATGTATAGATCCACATTTTCTTGACCTCGACATAGCTGGTGAGTTGTTAGCTTCACGCTCCTGCCGTTTTATCTCCGGGGAAATACCTCCCGGTACCCACTGGATAGGAGGCTGGGTAGGCACCAGAGCCGGTCTGGACATGGAGAAGAGAAAATTCTTGACCGTACCGGGCCTCGAACTCCGACCCCTCGGTCGTCCAGCCCGTAGCCAGTCGCTGTTCCGACTGAGCTATCCCGGCTCGTATGGTAAATGTAAGTATGAATCTCTTGTTTCGCGCTGCTTTACCGAATACTATTCTCATTGTTTATATGTATTAATACTGCGGCAGAAATGTAAATATCTGTCCTACACACAGCACTGGCGATGCCTGATGCAAGAAATAGTTTCTCAATTTCCATCAGAAACAAATTTGTATTTACATCCGGACTCACACATAACTCAAGCTGCGTAATTATGCCAAGCAGACGTGACATGCACTCAAATGGTGAACTGCAGAGTTCTTTCCTTGCTTTGTAGCGATTTCTCGTCATACCTACGTGAAATGGCATTCTACTCACCCTCTTCAGCTGGCAATTCTGAAAAGAAGAGAAAAGAACACCATTAGTGACAACATACATTTATTTCATTCCTTTATGAGACATTTACTGTGATGTTGAGACAATGCAACAAGCAGGCCTATAAGCTACTCAGCTTGTTACACAGTAACCTTTGCATACTGGGTCTGGTCAAGTGGGATTTGTGGTGGACAAAGTTGCGCTGGGGCAGGTTTTCTCCGAGTACTTCGGTTTCCCCTGCCAATCTTCACTCCATCAATTGCTCCACAATCACCCTCACCTATCATCTGGGGCTGGTACAATAGGCCAGAAGTGGCCGCAGTACAAGGGACTTAGTCTCACCCCCACTAGCAATAAAAAAAAAACCTTTGTATACGTGGTGAGGGTCGTTTGAGTCTGTAGCCTCGTCGTCCACTGTGATTCTCAGACTAGGCGGTAAAGCATGCATAAATTTAATTACTTAAAGCAACTGATTACTCGTCATTAATTAATAAACTGCCCACAAGGACCAACAGTCACTTAACTAATTTTCTTCAAAGGGAGGAAATTACAGTAGGTTGAAGCTTCTCAATGTAATTTCATAAAACATAATTAAACAAGCTCTGTATTCAAGAATCAAAAGGATCTCAACAAAATAAGTCGAGACGTCCGAATTACATTTCTCAAATAACGCCTTAAAACATTAAACAAAACAATTACATTTTTACTTCAAACGCAAACTCAGCGCCAAGTATTCCTTGCAATAAGACGGACCAGAACAGTTTACAGATCGTCATTCTGCATTTATGTAATGAAAAGGGCAAGAGGTCACCTGAAATCTTACTTTGCAAAGTGCGAAAAGCTTCGCAAAATTTGTTTCATATCTACGTTCCTTATTTACACGTACTTCCGCTTCCTTTCTTCCGGTCATTCGCGACGCAAGCGTTACCGTGTGCGGTGCATTGATATGAGATCTGTATTCACATATCCCGGATATGCCTACAGTGAGCAGCAAATTGCACGTTACATTTCATTGCCCCTATTCTTATTGCCTCCATTCGCTCGCACAATTCAACAGTTTTTCGGCGCTGTGGTCTGACTACTTTATTTTTAATTGCTGTTCAAATTAATTAAACTTCTCTGCCTAAATATCCGTTCCATAATTTGTCATATACAGTCATACACTTACAAAGAGAAGGGCTGCAATGTTCTAGCATACAACTGAGAATAGTGCACTAGTATATGAGCACACTTTCGCTATACAAACCACAAACCACAAAAGCCTGGTCTCAAACAACTAAACAATGAACTACCGGGTCTTGTGGACAAAACCATCTTCGGTGAAGCAATCTGTCCGTAGGGATCTGTGGTGGACAAAGTGGCAGGTTTTATCCGAGTACTTCGGTTTCCCCTGTCAATCTTCATTCCACCAACTGCTCCCCAATCACCCTCACCTATCATCTGGGGCTGGTACAACAGGCCAGAAGTGGCGGTACAAGGGACTCAGTCCCACCCCACTAGCACTAAAAAAATTCCACAACATTCCTGGTAGTTCTCTTGCCATTACTAAGAACACTGCCTGTTTTAGAGGATTTGTGTTACAAAAATAACTCATATATTGTAGTATGTAGCAGTCCCTTTTTCTGCCTAAAACTTCTTGCACATACTTTCTCACACAAGACTGCTCTAGACTGCGTCAGCTCGGTAACCACTCATCCTTACTAAATACCGAACAACAATGAAATCCGTTCAACCAGTACAGCTAGTTTCCACAAAATCTACATTTCGTGTTTGGGCTCCCAGTGCGTGTACCGTTACTATCCAGAAGCTTTCATGAAGTACTGAAATATAATTAAATTATTTTGGGCCGTTTTCGAGAAAATCGCCATTTGGAGGGGGGGCTCATCTCAAGGCTCCCATTTTGGGGGCTATAATATTCATATTCACCGAGCAACGACCTATGACGGACGTTCAGCCGTCCAGGCGCTAGCGACGCCCACATCCGCAGATATAAAGAGAGCAACTGAAAGGTGCGGACAAACAGTCCATATCAACCTGTGTCCGGAAACATTTCATTTCTCAGATATGGCGGAAAGAGTACTGTCGTGACCTACTGAACTGTCATACATTTTAGCCGCGCTGTGCGAGATGTTCACAGTAACACCTATCACGACTGATAAGACAGATAGAGGAGGACCCACTGCATGGTCTCCACGCCAGATTCGAATCCTCTGAAGTCCTACCGCCTGTAAAATAATCATGATACTTGAGAAATCCAAAGTGGGAGCAAGAGGGGAGAAGAAAAGGGAAAGTAAAACCACTGAGTAGAAAGGGGAAAATTAGTTGCGTACTAATATTGCAGTGTCTGTGTTTTGGCTGTAGTAGTTACAGGACCGAACCGTCAAGAAACACGGCTGCAGTTTACAACTCTGCCTCCGAGTAACGTTAACTTTTTGTTACTCCGAGATTTAGCCCCTTGGACTGATGCCGAAACACATTAAGAATCACCGATTTTTGGGGTCGACTAGGTCGAGCTCCTCTCGAATAACTCGTACACACTTCTCATCCTGAACTCTGCGCAAAATGGAGGATCCCAGTATGCATACAGCAGTACCTGATGTTTGTGCTGGACGTGAAAACTGTATATAAAAAAAATCTACCTCTGTAACAGGCCGTACAGGCCCATAGGCTTGTGAGACGTCGAGGCTCCCATATTTTCTCTAGACAATCAGCTCACAGATGGCGGTGAGGTTGTCAGCCTTACGCGCCAGCTGCCCTTTACCCCCAGGAAGATTCCTGGAATAGAGTTAGTTGCAAGACTCCTACGGTCCAGACAGAAAAACAGTCACTGATCCCGCGGGACCCGGAAACAAGAATGGCTGTGCCTGCGAGGGCTAGCAGAAATTTACCCTAATCGAACCTGGGTTGTCTAGTGATTGAGGTCAGCTGTTTCTAAAGAACTCTACACTGTAAATTTCTCCCAAACTTTCAACTAAGACGGAAACAGGTCGTTTCCAAAAGCTGTGTTCTTCAGAATACCAGGCAATGTACGAAGTCTAGAAACTCAGTAATCCAGAGTTAGGACAATGCAGAACTGACTTCGGTCTAAACCACTTAAGAAAATAACGTAAAGAATTGGGGGGAATGCGTTCACAGATTTTGTCAAGTGACGATTACTGTGGATGAATTCGCCAGTCGCCAAAGACGCCACTGCGCAGTAAGTTTCAGCAAATATTAAAATACAAATTCCACTTGCGCACTCCCAGTTCGGCCAAGAGCCACCAAGTTGTGGCGCGACCTGGCTTGTTGGGCCTGAACACATCTGGGGAAGTGGATAATATTAAGGTATCGCGGAATGATGATTAGCACGATAAAGTACTTGAGGGAAAACTCCAGAGTCACTCTGCACATCACAAATCCTACTGACCGAAATGGGTTTGAGCCCCGGTCTCCAACCAACCAATGAACTTCGTATCATGAGATCTATTGCCACGCCTCCACATCAAACTTTGGAAGATACTCTGAAAATTTTCCACCATCCGTTACTGACGCAGATTAACACTCCAAAGGTACTCGGTTCTCTGACAAGATGGCAGAGGATATGCGTGTGTGATAAAAGAGGACGTAAGATTATACTAGATCCTGCCTTAAAACGATCTTCATTTCGTGATGGCTGGTATTTGTGCAATCTACAATCGACAGTCTCTGTGACGTCCACACGAGGAAACCTTGTTGCAACACACAAGACTTCCCATACGTACAGTTGCCTACTCAACACATGACGCAACCTGGAAGACGTTTTACAGACAAAGTCTGCGTCTGCGCTGCTCCACACAAATCTCTCTCTCGGCCTGTTCCAAGGGGCAAAATGCCTTTATATCAGTACAAAGTGTCAGATCACTAAAGCAAAGCAGTTTTGGTTTCCAATATTTCGCTTGCTTCTACATTACATCGATGAGCAGTTTATAACGATACTAAGGGCTGGCCAATCGGAATTCGATTCCCGAGAAAGGCTAGGGCTTCTCTTTCCGACACCATGTCCTGACCGGTTGTGGTACCGACCACTCGCCTCCACGTGGTGGCCACGTCAGGTATGCGCGCTCAGATGCACACTTCACACTGACGCTAGTTCTTCGTGCATGTCAGGAACGTTTGTTTACCGAAAAGTATTGCAAGGTTTCCTAGCTACACAGCATTACGTCCATATGATGTAATTTACAAGAAGAAAAAAACACAGTTGAGAATGATATGACGTCACTCAGAGCAACATGCAACATCGCCTACGCAATTCAGTTGCGTGGTAAAGTGGTGCTGCCTGGAGGACGGGGTCCGGTAAAATGGCACAAACAGAATTCGCATTCGTTCACTCATTTCTGCATCCTCTGCACTTCCCACCATAATGATTTAGCCACTACGTTTCTGCGCCTGCATTTCCGATGCAAACTGAGGTTAAGATTTGGTTTATACTGACCAGTTATTCAGACCAGATACAGGAGATATCGCTCCAACATTAGTATGCATGCAAATTCTGGATAGTCGCCGACAGGATTTGAGCCTCGGTCCTTCCGAATGACAGCCAAAGCAATACAGTTCAGCAACTATTATTTCTTACACTTCATCTGGAGAGGTCTGAAGTTTCTCTTCGGCTGCCAATTGCCTCCTAAAAATCCGGTTCTGGATTCGAACCGACACCCCTCTGAATGCATCGCTAAGAATCGGTCACATGTGTGAATTACTCGTCACGTCTTATTCGGAAATATCTGCGGAGTCAATGTGTCTCCAGCCGCAATCGACTCCCGAAATGCGGCGTGGGCGCTATTCACGTACTTGGCGACCCAATTACCCACACACTCATCTCGTAAAGAATCGTCTTTAAAACAAATGTTCTGGGCATTAAACTTTAAATGCGCGCAGGAAAGTGGTACAAGCAAATCAAAATCTGCGTATACCTACAGCACGGGGTATGCATGGGGATATAAATTACGAAATTTGAACTGAGCTCAGCTACTTTGACCAGTTCTGCAGGTTAACCACACGAATTT